CCAAAAAAAAAAAAAAAAAAACCAGAATAAAATGCATTATTGTATATCCACTGGGAAATGCAATGCAGCCATTTGTTCTGTATTTACTGACACAAAAAGATGTCCTCAACATTCAATTAGGTGAAAAAAGATCACAAAACAGTATTTTTATTTTTTATTTTGGAGAGGATTTTGCTATAGGGCACATGCACTCACCAAAAAGATAGAGAGACAGACTGAAAGCGAGAAACCACTCCCCAGGGGAATGGCCAGGCCGCAATCCCTTCTCTCCCTTCCCCTCCTCTCTCCTCTTGGGATCTTGGACACACGCGCACATGCACCCGGTGTGAGTTTAAGCCACTGGGTCCAGAACTCAAACTGCAGTCAACTACATGGGAGTCCAGTGACATCGCCATTACGCCAAATGCTGGTTCCATCACAAAACAGTATTAAGGTGTGATTTTGTTGATTTAAAATTACATGTGTAGGGCTGGTAGGTGGCGTGGTGGCTGGAGGTGCTGGAATGCCATGTGGCAGACCACAGATTGAATCCTGGACCTGGAGGCTTGCTTTCTCACTTTCTCTCTCACTCTGTCCCTCTCTGGTAAAATTTAAATAAATAAATAGCTTAAAATAATTCTGAAAAAAAAATTACATGTGTATTCATGCTTATACTCTAGCTTGAAGAAAGGAACAGCACATAAAAACATCGGTAATAGCTAGCAAGGGTCCAAGCTGAATGCCAGGCAAGTGGTATAGGCAGTGTGCTTATTCTGCCACCTACTCACTCATCTTCCTTCCGACAACTACACTTTATTCCAAAAGCAATTTAAGGACAGTAAATACATGCACTCCATCAAGTTCTTTAATTTTCCCCATCTTCCCTCATCCGTTCCTCTTCCTCCCAGAAGCCAGGCCAGTAACAAGGTAAAAGGGAAGCGTAAGGACAGAGGGAAATCCCAATGGGATCTAGATGGGATTCTTCTTACTGCAACACAGTTCTTCCTACAGATCTGCAGGATATAAAGCAAGACTACCTGACTCAGATTCCCTATTTCATCCCTTACTAAACCCAAAATTCCTTGTAGAGCAGCCTGAAATAAGACTGACTCATCACAGGGAAGTGACAGGCCACAGCAAACTAGAGCTCCATCCATTCACATGGGCCTGCATCTTTCTATGAGCAAAAATTAAAGACCTGAATCTTTTTTGCCTCCTACCTTGGACCCTCCCTCATGCTTTCCTCAACTTCCCCGAGCTATCTTGGCTAAGTTAATTCACTCTCAAACCCCCACAGCCACTGCCTTGCCACATCTACCCTTGAGATTAAAGGACTTCCCCACTAAGATTTTTGAGGTTAGGTCCTTTCCAAGAAAGCTACCTAGAATAATCATAAGTTAGTCTGATTAGAACACTTTCAGTGTTTGGTGAGGTTTTGAGTGACCTGATGGACAGAGTCCTGATATATATGCTCTTAGGTAAATGGGAGCAGATTAAACTTCTTAGCTGAGCATGAAGCCATGAACAAGGAATTCGCAACTTCCCAAAGGTGGTAGCATGTATGTTGCTAGCCCCTACATATCTCTCCCCTAGGTTGGGGAGCAGAGGCCCATGGATGAAGGTAGGGAGCTTAAAGACCTCACTGTTTCAAAATATTTCTCACACACTTTCTGTCACCACTTGGGCACCTAATACACACCTGGTCCTATGTTAAATGCTCTCATATACTATCACCAAAAATGGCAATATCGCTCTTATCAAACATTCCTATTTTGTGCTACTGAATTTAAGAAACCTAAGGCACAGGGGCCAGGAAGTGGCACGGTGGTTAAGACACTGGACTCCGGGAACCAGCAGTTAGCGTAATGGCTATGTCGCTGGACTCCCACGTAGTCAACCGCGGTTCGTGTCCCGGACCCGGTGGCTTAAAACTCACGCCAGGCGCGTGTGCGTGCGTGCCCAAGATCCCGAGAGGAGAATGGAGGAGAAGGGATTGCGGCGTGACCATCCCCCCTGGGGGGTGATTTCTCGCTTTCTGTCTCTATGTCTCTCTCTGTCTGTCTGGCGAGCGCACGCGCCCTACAGTGAAAATCTCTCCAAAAAAAAAAAAAGACACTGGACTCCCACATGGTCGATGGTGGTTCGAGTTTCGGAAATGGTAGGTTGCTTTCTTGCTTTCCCTCTCTCTCTGTTTCTCTCTGGTGAGCCATGTACCCTACAACAAATTAAAATAATAATAATAATGATTTCTAAAAAAAGAATTACTGGTCCCAAGTACTAGTGCTTAACTGATGCTTAAAGACCACAAATAGTACAACCACGGTTCAAGTCCTGGACCTGGTGGCTTGCTTTCTTACCATCCCCCCATGCCCCATCCCCTCTCTGTTTCTCACTGGTAAGTACATGTGCCCTAGAGCAAACTTTAATAATAATAAATAAAATAAATATTTTAAAACATAACTTTTATTTATTTATTTTTAATTTGACCAGAGAAGGATTGGGGGGGAGGGGAGGAATGCAAGCTACCAGGTCCAGGACTTGAACCGTGGTCAGCCATGTGGGAATCCAGTGGCCACAACCATCATGCCACCTGCTGGCCCCAATAAATAATTTTTTTAAAAAAGACAATAGATAGTTAATGAAGTAAAGAGTGTTCCAGGTGTGTTGTTACAACATGGATGCCCATCTGGTCAACTGTGGTTTGGAGTCCCAAACCTGGTGGCTTGAAAATCAAGCCAGGCACACACACATGCAAGCCCAAAATCCCAGGAGGAGAATGAACATAAAGGGATTATGCCACAATCCCTTCTCCTCCATTCTCCTCCAGAGATCTTAGGCATGCATGCACACATGCCTGGTGTGTCTTGCAAGTCTTAGATTGAAATAAACATTTAGACTTGATTGTATAGATAAACAGAGATGTAACAAAGGATTGTAAAAGAAGAAAGACAAGCTCAAATTGTTTTATAGGGAGACAAGTAGAAGCAGCAAGGAGGATAGTCACACCAGGAGTGAAGACAACTTGGGGACCAGATTAAGGCAGGCTTACTCTAGGGCAGGATCTATGCAAAAAGATGAGAAGAACTCCAGAGAGAAATGTGAAGTATGATTGGCTGCCCTCAGGGTCTACTTTCTGGGTCTAACCTGCTTTCTGAGTCCAAAGCCAAAGGTCCCTGTAAAGCCCAAAGGTACTGGCCTGCCATGGGGGAGTCGTTAATGCCCTTCACCTCATCTGGGCTCTGATACTACTGTGGCAACCAGCAGACTGGTTGCATAGAGACAGGTATCCACCGTCTATGTACCAGCAGACTGGTACATAGGGATGGTTATCCACTGCCTATGTACCAGCAGACTGGTACACAGGGACAGTTATCCACTATCCCCATTGCATGAGAAGCCACAGACTGAGGTTCTTAGGATCCAAGTAAAGGTTTCATATCCCATTCCTAACCCTAATGTGGCAAGGAGCTGGCAGAGTCCTCTCAGTCAGCATTTCCCCAAATATGATCTACAGATGATGACTGGTATCACAACTGCATGGGAGGCTGATCAAACTGCAAATTCCTGGTCACCACCTAATACCTACTAAATCAGACTATCTAGAACTATAAATAAGGAATTTGCCGTTCAAACAAGAACTCAACCCCACACCCGCTACGCTCAAGGACAATTCTGATGCCTGAAAGCTTTAAAACCACAGTTCTAGAAGCGGGGCTAATGGAGGAAGGTGGGCTGACATTGTCAAAATTATGAGACTACGTACAGCCAAAGAGTTAAAATGGGCATGGAGTGAATAGTCTAAATAGAGAAGTATGGGGACCAGCAGTTTGTGTAATGGCTATGTCACTGGACTCCCATGTAGTCGACCGCAGTTCGAGTCACAGACCTGGTGGCTTAAACTCACGCCAGGTACGTGTGCATGCGTGCCCCAGATCCCGAGAGGAGAGTGAAGGAGAAGGGACTGCGGCGTGGCCACCACCACCCCCAGGGGGTGATTTCTCACTTTCTGTCTCTCTGTCTGTCTCTATCTTTCTGGCGAGTGCATGCACCCTATAGCAAAAACCTCTCAAAAAAAAAAAAAAAATTTTTTTTTAATTCAAAAAGAGAAGTATGAGTGGATAATAGAATTTTTAGGCCCCAATGCAGAGGCCAGCAGATGGCATGGTAGTTAAGGGCACTGGACTCCCATGTGTCCAACAACAGTTCGAGTCTCAGATCTGGCAGCTTGCTTTCTTACTTTCCCTCTCTTTCTCTCTCTCACTCTGTCCCTCTCTGGTCAAATTAAAATAAGTAAATAAAGTTAAATAAAAAATCATTATTTTTTTTTAAAGTCTAAGGAATGTAATTCAATTTAAAAGAAAGAGAGAAACCAGAATATCAGAGCATGGGGCTTACAGAGCTGAGGGAGTAAGCATAGATGGAGCCCTCAAGGAAATCACTAACAGTGGACGTGATCTCCAGCTCTCTTAGGTTGGTTTTCCCAGTATATTCCTAGGAGGGAAGTATAAGTACCTCAGCTCACATGGGGGGGTGGATTTCTTGCTTTCTGTCTCTCTGTCTCTCTCTTTCTGACGAGCGCACGTGCCCTATAGCAAAAACCTCTCCAAAAAAAGAGTCGCCTAGTCCTGTCATAAACTCAAGGACCATTCCAGGTCAGAAACTTTGAAGCCTACCCCTACATACTTTTAGATTCTGCCATTTAGGCATATGGGACCAATTTTCCACTACTTCTTACTTGTCTCACTGGTAAAAGTCCCACCCTTTCTTCTATACTTACATTCAAATTCAGAGAAATACCAGACTCAAGTTGAGCAGTGTCCTGAGTTCCTGGAACTGTAGAGGCCAGCTCCTCTGCCTACCACAATGGAAGGAGGGATGGAGTTCTCACTCCTTCACCTTACCTAAAAGGAGCTCCATGACTGCTACAGGCTTCTGTACAGGAAACGTGTTTCGAAGATAAGCTAGTTGAGCCTGATATGCAAAAGGACAGAAGGTTAAGTTTCTAGCAGCAGAAATTAAGGTGAGGTGAAAAGATAAGGTAGAATTTTGGGACCAGCAGATGGCATGGTGGGTAAGGACGCTGGATTCCCACATGGCTGACTGTGGTTCGAGTCCCAGACTTGGTGGCTTGCTTTCTTGCTTTCCCTTTCTGTCACACGCTGGTCAAGTTAAAAAATAATAATAACAAATGGAATTAAATAAATATTTTAAAATATATTTTTAAAAAGATAAGGTATAATTCTGGAAATTTTATTTTTAAGTAAATAGCACAAAAGATACAAAAAAAGCAATATGCAATCTCAATTAAACCCTTGTATATCAACTCCCTGATCCCTCCTACAAAATCTGGTTCCAGACTAAAGAGGTAAGACTGCTAAAAGAAGTCCAGCCAGGTGGCAGCCAATAGGAAACTGAACTGCAGTACTGGGAGCCATATGGCTGACAACGGGTTCAAATACCCAGGTTGGCCTGAAAACATGCCAGGTGCATGCATGTATGCACAAGATCATGACAAGCTGAAGGGCCAGGGAAAAGGGATTGTGGAGTGATGAGACTTTGTCAAGAGTGCTTCTCTCATTCTCTCTATATATCTGTCTCACATGTGCTATCATATATAAAATAAGCTTTGAGGAAAAAAATGCTAAAAGATGATTTAAATACTCACCAAGGTTATTTATGATCTTAATTCTGAATTGCTTACCCTGTCCCTTCTTACACTCCACCCACTGAATTCTCTAGGTTCTGTTGTAATACCTTGTTTTAATTCTTTGTGTAGCACTTATCAGTATCTGATTTCTTATTTTTTTGCTTTATTTGTATATTTGTTTATAGTCACCTTTAATTAGAATGTAAATTCTTAGAGGACAGGAATAGTGTCTGTTTTATTCATTATCATATTCCTAGCACTTAAGACAGTACCTGGCACATCATAGATTCTTGATAAGTAGTTAAATAAGTGATTAACAGCTTCATATGTTTCATGAGGCCCTTATTGGCTTCACCAGCATCATCTGTATCAATGCATTGTCTGCTTCAGCATCTTTTCCTTCAGCTCATTCAATCTTTTTTTTTTTTAAGAATTACTTATTTAATTTTATCTATTATTATTTTTAATTTGCTGTAGGTCAGATGAG